AAATTACCCAGTTTCAGGTCTTCTGTTATAAGCAACAGAAACAGACCAATACCAGCCTCTGTCCAGCTGCTGGTACTGCTGGCAATCCTCGGCGCCCCTTGGCTTGTAGACACCCAGCTCCGGTCTCTGCCTCCGTCCTCCACGGCCTTCTCTCAGTCTTCCTCCGCCTCTCTCCTGTAAGGACAGCTGTCGCTGGATTTAGGAGCCACTCCAAATCCAGGATGATCTCGCCTCGAGATCCTCAACTGCATCTGCAAAGACCCTTTTTACAAATAAGTTTGCATTCACAAGTTCTGGGGACTGAGATGTGGACATATCTTTTGGGGTACACCATTCAGCCCACTACAGAGGGCTTCAGGGGGAAACACTGACAAACATGCATTTTCAATCAGCCATGCCTAAATGTGCGTCCTGCAGTGCAGCAGCGGTGGACAGCGTCCCGCCTTCCCTGCTCCCTGCCACGCTTGACCCCAGACCCCCGGGGGCCCTGACCCAGCCTGGTCATCGTTCCTGGCTAACACATCCAGCAGCCCCTCTGGACCCCCTCCTCTCCTCAGGCTCTCACTCCCACCCCCAGACCCCCTTCCTGTCGGCATTCTGTCCCGTTTCCTAAATCACTGAGTCAGCGGGTGAGAGACCCGCCTTTGGACCGTGTGAAGTGCCTGTGGAGGATGGGCACGTCCACCCAGAGCCCGGACAGGGAGGCAGGCAGAAGGCGGCGTCCAAGTGCCGCCCAGGCAAGGCGCGGAGTCCTGACGCCGTGAGGACAGAACCGGCAGGGCTGAGGTGGATATCGGGGCTCAGTCACCAGGAGTCTGGGGCTTACAGGAGGAGAGTCAAGTCCCCTGGGCTGCCGGCCACCGAGGAGCAAGCGGCGTGGTCAGGAGCACAAAGGGCTGGCTCGAGACAATACCGACCATGACTAAAGACCCTGGAGCCAGGGACATGCCCAGACAGCCGTCTGCTTCCTTCAGGCAAAGGGGACTTCCTAGTGGCTGGGGTCAGAGTGGACCTCTGCGTGCTGGGTTCTGAGATTAGCGCCCACCATCCTTTTGTGCAGAGAGGGGCTGGCACTCAGTCCCACGAGGGTCGTCAGCGCGTCTCGTGCTCTACAGGCCTTCACTTGCCCTGGTGTTGCTCCTGCAGCTCAGGTGGCCCCATCCCGTGTGGGGCATGAGGGCCAAGGGGCTCTTTGTCACACGACCACACTCACTCACCCCAAGCTAAGGGCTCAGTGGGAGACATGGTGAGGACGAAGCATGCCCCCGCCTCCCTTCCTCCCGCCTCTGGGGACTGCTCCGGGAGCCCTCCTCTTGCAGATGGCCCTGGCTCCGGGCCACATGAAGCCTTCGTTCTAGTCTGTGGGCTCATGGTGTGTGGGGCGGATTACCTGGGTCCCGGTGAGCCTTGAAGTCTTCTGCCATAGTAGTGTGTGCACAGAGCTCCTGACTGCGCTGCCTCTCCCATGGACACAACCTTCCTCATGAGCCCCGCAGGGTGGCAGGAGGAGACTAAGCACAGGCTACGCCCCGGGCCCCTCTTCGGACAGCTGGGGACCCACCGGGCCAGCACACACCTCCATCCACACAGCAGACCCTCACTCCGTCCATTCACCTGGAGGCGGCCTCGGCCCAGGGAGGGTTACCCCCTTCCTCTCCTGTGGCGCTCAGGGCTGCCAACATACCCCGCAAAACGTGCCATCCAGAGCACCAGGGCACATGCATTTCCCTCAACCTCTGAGCCTGCTTTGCCTCCTGGTGGCCTCCTGGGCCTCTGGACTCACACCGAGCCTGCTGCAAGCAACTGAGACCTGCACATCCCACCTCCTGATCGTGCCATTGCTTTAAAAAACAAAGAGCAAGACTTTTACATTTAATCTTGTTGGTCTTGGTCAGTGCTCCTGCCCAAGACAACGCTTTTAGACTTGAGTCTTTGATCCCACAGAGGAATCCCCCCACCACCCACCAGCGTGGTCTTACCCTGGATGTGCCGAGGACCCTCTCTCAAGGCTGGTCTCATTGCTAGAGTGTGGGTGCGGGGTCCTGCCACAGGGATGCTCCCATCAGGTCCCCCACCCCACACATCTGCACTCTGTGCCCCTGGCTCTGAGCCTGCCTTCTCCTGGAGGGCTTCGTCAGACTCCCCTTGAACATGCGGTAGGAGGCGAGGTGGGTTTGGGGCAGGCTTTTTCTTTGGAGAGCTCCTGTGGCTCCCAGCACCCTCCTGTTCTAGTGATGCACAGGTCGGGTCATCGCCAGACATGCATCCCGGACACCCCTGCACACCAGCCTGCATGGGTCTGACCTCGGGGCCGTGATTGCCGAAGGTTCAAACTGAGCCCAGGGAGCAGCCGCCAGACCCCAGAGCAGGAGCCGTCATGGGGCAGAATGGGAGCCACAGCCCAAACTCCCGGACCCAATGCTCGATACAGGAGAATGTAAGTGCAGACACACGTGAGTGTGTGTGTACGTATGTACACACACATGTGGTGTTCCAGGAAGCTCAGCCTCTTTCGGCGTCCTCACAGCCCAAACTCCCGGACCCAATGCTCGATACAGGAGAATGTAAGTGCAGACACACGTGAGTATGTGTGTACATATGTACACACACATGTGGTGTTCCAGGAAGCTCAGCCTCTTTCGGCGTCCTCACCTGGGAATGTGGGGGGTGGGGCGGGAGGGGAGTGGAATCCCCCACTCGCGGCTACACATTTCCACGTGACCCATGGTTGGTGACTGGCACTTAGGACTCCCACAGTTGGAGATAAGTCCCCAGGAGACCTAGGAGAGGCCGGCGCTGGGGAAGGAGAGCCTGAGGTCCCAGCAGGTGGGCCCCGAGCTGCCGCCGCTGCAGCCAGGGCTGGAGGAAGAGAGGCTTCCTTCGTGTGTTTGCATCTGTCTGGGTGGGGAATGAGGTCCAGGGTTCAAGAGAGCATCCCTGTCCTGGGATATGATCTTTCCTTGGACTTTGGCCTGGGGGTCACTTCTCTGAAGCCCCCACTGAACTTCATCCCTGACCCCCCCAAGTGGGGCCAGGTGTCCACTTACTTGCATGGGACCCCTCATCCCTGACACCACTGCCTTGGGCTCGGGGGTGGGTGGCTCACACGGCCAGGTCCCCGCAGTGGGGATATGGGGCTGTTACTCAGCAGGCAGACCGAGGAATCAGCTCAGGGGACCGGGAGGAGGAAGAGTGGATTGATGTCACAATCTGGAAATCAGGAAAGAGGCTCCTTCTGGCCCTCCTGTCTGTCAGCTTTATGTTATAAGACTTGGTGTTGCTTCTACTTCAAATCACTTCAGGGACAGGGCAGGGACGGACTCCTCGCTGCTGGGGCCACCCCAGTTCTGTCTTCCCAGAGGAGTTTCTGCAAGGCGTTTAGGTGTGTGCATATGTGTGTACATGTGTGTTGGTCGTGTGCACATGGGTGTGTGGTGTTTCTGCATGTGTAGGGGTGCATGTGTGCTTGTGTGTGTGCGTATGAGCTGTGTGTGTGCATATACATGTTGAGTGTGTGCACACGTGCGTGTATATGGTGTGGGTGTGTGCACACATGAGGTGCATGTGTGGTGTGAATGTGTGTGTATGCACACTCCCGTGTGCTTGTTGTGTGCAGCAGGTGGTGGGGCTTGTGCTCCAGAGACCGGTCCCCCAGACAGGTGCCCAGGTGGTGCCAGCCCCAAGGGAAGCTGCTGTCACATTAAGGTCACCACTACGAGCCAGCCAGGAGATGGAAGCTGAGTCAGGCTGGTGTTTCTGAAGCTCATGCCCTTCCACAGAGTGTGGGAGTGGGGGTGGAAGTGGGGAAAATGGGCTCACAGGCCACAACAGTCTGCCAGAGACCCCTACTCTTGGGACTCCTATCTGGGAGTGGGGAGGGGCCTCTGAGTCCTCTGTTCCACGGGCAGCTCCATCCAGCAGATCCTGATACCAAGTGTCCCCCAGTAGACATGCCTCTGGTGGCTCGGGGTGGTGACCCAGTGACTTGTAGTTCCCAGAGCTGGAAGCCCCCACCTTGAGGACCCCCATCGCCCCGCCCACCGGTGCCAACATGGTAAAGAGGCAGCAGGCAGCGTGTGGGACTCCCTGCCATTCCCGCAGATATGCCCACCTGGCCCAGACCCCAGCTGGATTGTCCTTCCCGGCTGCAGACCGTGGTCCTTGTGGGCTTTCTGCGCAGGGCTCCACCCTTACGTGCTCCTACAGGTGCCCGTGGAGCTCACCATCAACCCGGGAAGGAGAGGCCTGAGCGGCACGTCTGGGAGAGGAGGGACCAGGGCGCAGTGAGAGAGCGTGGGGCCGGGGGCTGAGGCCAGCCTCACCTGCTCTCCACAGCTGGGGCTGTGGACACTCAGCAGCCGAATTAGAGTGGGTACTTCCTGGAAATATTCTGCAATTATATACAGCATAAGATGTCTCGCATCCTTTCTCACCCCCTTTAATGTGAAGCGACGGTCACTTCTGCAACCCGTTCCAAGCTTCTTGGGCCGTTCCTGGAGCCGCGAAGGAGAGACGAGAACAGAGGGACAGACCAGGGCTGGGTGGACGACTTTATTTTTCCTGGGCAGGGGAGCAGGGTACACGGCCACAGTGCAGTCACGTAGCTTGTAAAAATATCTCAATAAATAAAACAAATAAGCAACATATACACTGAAACAGAGAATATTAAAAAAAAAAAGAGGCTAACTGAGCAAACCATGGAGAAAGCTGTGGGAAGGATTCCAGGCCAACTTCAAACGACATGCTGAGGTTTGGGGAGGGAACTCGGGGGTCCTTTTCTGAGAGCCTTGGTCCAGTTTAAACAGAACTGTAGGACAATGCATTTCTGTTTTATTAAAAAATATATACATTAAAAAAAGGCACTTAGAGGGAAATACAAATCCAAAATCCAAATCCTCACATATGTGTTCCTGAATCTAGAGATTTTCAGAAAGAACAACCTCCCTCCTCTCAAAAATAAAACCCAGAAGACAAATCCAAACAGGGACAAGCATGGCAATGACCGTGTCCCCGCAGGCAGGGCCGGGAGTGCCCGTCCCATCTGGGCAGCGCCTCCAGGAGGAGGCTGGAGTCCGGGCTCCTGGGTTCGGTGTCGCCGCTGGCAGCAGCGGTGCGAGGCCTCCTTGAGGTCGTTCAGGTTTCAGAAGTTCTAGACTTGGACGCATCCCGATTCCACGTGCGCCTCATAAACGCGGGACAATCTGGAAGGCAAGGAAGAGGAGGGTGAGCTGTCACCGCAGCACTGGGCGTCCTGTGGCCGTGGCCTCTGGACTGGGCAGGTGGGACAGCGCGGCCGGCACACTGGGAGCTGGCTCTGCCCTGTCAGGCCTCCCCTCTCCTCCCAGCAGAAACCAGGCAGGTGGCAGCTGCCAGGGCCACAGGGGAGCTCCCACGCCGCTGCCCACCCTGCTCTCCATCCACTCTGGACCCGAGGCCCCTCTCGAGGCTTCTCCCAGTGCTCCTCAGGGCACGAGCCTGTGTGACTGGGGAGCCGCTGCCAGGAGGCCTGTGTGGCTGAGGGGTCGTGGGGACGGGGCAGGGGCAGGACACAGAGAAACAACAGCTCGCCACCAGGGGAGGGGACTGTCCAGGGCAGGTGACTTTTTAAAAAACTTGTGCCTTTGAAATAATTATAGATTCACAGGAAGTTGCAAAAGCCTGTGTGGCTGAGGGGTCGTGGGGACGGGGCAGGGGCAGGACACAGAGAAACAACAGCTCACCACCAGGGGAGGGGGCTGTCCAGGGCAGGTGACTTTTTAAAAAA